TAGCTAGCATCGATTGACAGAGCATCAAGAATATTGATCGCCACTTAACTGTGTTGATTGATACTCACATCAAAGCAGGTATACAGTCTTTCTTTGTTAAATATTTTCCTTATGGTTTATTGTCCCACCAATCTTAGGCTCTATAACATTGGTCACAGTGTTATTTAAGTCTGGGGGAGGTTCTGCTAATATTGTGTCTTTAGTTAGATATTTAGAAAAGCAGAACCGGGTAGACGATTTCCATGATAATCGACCGACGAGAACAGTCGATATCGATCGACAGTACAACATTTGCAGCGACCGATGGTAACTATTTTTCATCGATCGATACTTTATCCGGTCAGGTATATCGTTCTTACTTGTTAAATTTCGTACTTCTGCTTTATGTTTTTCATCTTACCACCGACTGTGTTACACTGGGGACAGTGTAATTTAAGTCTGGGGGGATTACTAACGTTTATCTACTTTATGAGTCTTATTTAAAATGTTTTCAAAAAGTTTTTATTGAGTCAAGAAGGGGATGATGATCTATTTCGATTTATTACTTGTCATCTAACCACTCTTTAGACCATTCTTAGATTTACTAATTGCAGAAGTACTAGAGATACTAAAGTGGATCAACCTGTCAACTATGTTTGCACTTGCTGAGAATGTTTGAAGGAACCAAAGCTGACCTCCAACCTAATATTGACTTGATTTGCTTGTCTTGGGGCTTGGTATACAAGGGATCGGAATCCTCTTGCAAGTCTGGAGGTAAAAGTCTTGATAATTTTGGTTTCCTTCTCTCCTTCCTTTGGCATCCCAAAAAGAGAAAAATAAAAGATTGAGATGATTTCCTGAGAGGCAGAGGGAGACGTACATTACCCATGACCCCACTATTCTAATTCAAAGGGATGATCACACATTGTGGAAGCGAGGGAGAGGTACATTACCCATGATCCCACTATTCACCTACACTTTGTCAGAAAAAGCTACAAAAAGTAGAAAGATCAATAAGGTGATTATATGTTGTTCATTGGGATTGATATAAAATAAAAAAAAAAAAAAAAATTGGGATTCAAAGAAGGGAGATATATGGAGAAAAGAAACCAGAATAAGACTGCTTATTTACTCAGAAACTTGCTTGAGTTGAATCCAAGTGTTCCTTGATCGATACTCCCAAGGTAAAGCCTGCACTTTTATTTTATGTAAGAAATGAGGTTAGTAGAGGGGATTGTCGGACAGGATCTGTTGAGTTGTTGACTAGGTGGATTTGGTTGCTATACTAGGATATTGTATAATATTCTTCTAAAAGTTAGGATGTTTAAGATTTGGTTTGCACTAGTAGAGAGATGGTGACTGAGTTTTTAAAATCTTTTGAGTCCCTGCTGTTTTCAATCCTCTTTTAGAGAGACTGCCTGTCTTTTTTGTTTGAGGACAAGCAAAACGTAAGACTGGAGGAGTTGATCGACCATGAAGTTTTACCCATTTTTAGCCATGGTCTACTGGTGTTTTAATGTATATTTACTACAATATAGATTCTATTTAGAGTATTTACAGGTTCAGGTACGATATGGAGTAAAGTGGTGATTTTGGTGTCTTTTGAAGCCTTTTGAGTGCAGAGCTGCGCAGACGCGTCAGATGTTTAGATATGGATGGAGATCTTCCCACGGTGCGATTGAGCCCATCCTGTGACACAAGATAGAGCTTTGATTTAGCTTTCCAATCCCACCGGTTTGAGGTCAATCCAATGGTTAGATAAGAAGTTATGCCCGTTTTACTGAAGCGTGGTCAGTCTGCCTCGCGAGAGAAAGCTGCCGAGAAGATATGTGCATGTCGATAGATGGGAGACACTTCACATCGATCGATATGAATTCCAGAACGTGGGCTGACTATATTTCATGACTGACTGAAGCCCAGAAGATACCACAAAGTTACCAAAATACCCTTGACGACTTGAAACCGTATTTATGTTATTTGCAAGCCATTGTTGACGGCTAAGCTTTCTTTGATTCATTGTTTCTATTAGTTAGGATAGAAGGGAGGAACTCCTATCAGAGTCCTCCTGGAACTCCATTGGTTTTGGTTTTATATCTATTGCAATTTCTTATCTATTCATCTATGATTTCTGTGACAATCTTCATGTCTGAATAGATCCACTTGTTGGATTTAGGGTTCAGATAGGTTGTGGGATTAGCCCCAACTATAGATTGCTAAGTTGTGATATTCATTATCATGATGAACCCTAATGCTTGATTCTAGAGTCATGAACTAGAACCTTGAACATGATGGCACTAATCTGTATATGCTAAGATCCTCTCGAGATACGCGAGAGCCGGTCTATGATCTTGGTGGGCACTATTTCAATTCGATCTGAAGCTATATTGATCGATACTCCTATAGAGTAATCGATCGACGGCAACAAATATCATCCGATATGGCGATCATACCATCGGTCGATATTGTCGGCAGTCAGATCAATGGACGAGTCTAATAGCGACAGCTGATAGATTCATCTAAGAGTTGAAGCTCTTTAATATCATGCATGCAACCTATTAGGAATCTATAGCATTATAATCCTGATTACCTGGATAGAAACCCTAGATCTAGCAACCATCCTTCCATCAAAAAAATCATTGCCAAGCTGAACAATTATCTTGTTCATCTTGTTTACTGCTTTCAAGTTTATTATATTTATTTACTGCATTAATACTTATTAGCCTAACTTAATCATATAACTATTAGATCTATTAGGTTCCTTAACTCCTTGTGGATTTGATCACTAAGTACTACAACTTAACCTCTTATTTGAGAGAGTAATTCACTCCTTAGGGTAATTTGAGTGATATCAATTTTCTTATCTGAAATCCAGTTTAGATAACTTCTTCCATATTAAAAAAACAAGCTCCGCTTCTCTGTACAGTAAAACCTCTATAAATTAATAATTTTGGGACTTTGAAATTTTATTAATTTATAGAAATATTAATTAACCAAAGTTTCCTTATTTAGATATTTTTATTTTTTTTTCCATTTTTATAAATAAAATAAAAAATATTTGATTTTAGCATATGTATATTATTTAAATTTTAGAAATTTGACTTTTATATTTTTTTTATTATCTTATTTGGTTATTGAAATATTTAAAAAAATAAAAGTTTTTTTTATAGTAAATATAAAACCCCTAACTAAATATTATCAAAATATATATTGAAATCCTTAAAAAATAAAAGTATTTTTATAGTAAATATAAAACCAACAATATAATGTTAGATTGTACTTATATAAAATTATATATAGCTAGATTATTAATTTTTGATTTTAGTGGGACCATATATTTACATGGTAGTTTTACAAATATTATTATCTTATTATTTTATCGATTTGTGTCATATTTTACACTGGCACAAGTTGGGACGGTGAAATTTATTAATTTATAGAGATTATTAATTTATATAGGTTCTACTGTATTTAATTTATTTACAGCTCCCATATATTAAAAACATTGATTTTCTAAACTTTTTCTCGAATTAACAATCTTATGCAAAAATAACTTTATAGTGACATTTCCCATGGATCACATCCATCAAAGAATCAACCAACTCAAATAAGGGGTTTCAGTGAACCCTATAACAGTATGTATAAGACTATTTGGGACATCAAAATTCACCAACCAGAGAATACCCAATCATGCACCGGCTTCATATGCTATGACCACCACGTAAAACATATGTTACAACTTTTACATATACATATATATTTTTCCACAGTTTGGCATATTTGGTTTCGTCTGATCAATAATCACTTAATTGATTTGATAAGATAAATTTGTTCACATTCAGGGACAACTATTGGAAGGTCGGCTCTCCAACAACAATCAGCCTACTGACCCAATATTTTTAACCGAAGGAGATAAATATGAATTCTCTGGATTTTTCGTCGTACTAAATTTCCGTGAATGGAAATTAACACAACTCTCGTATTACATTCAGATCGACCAAGAGACAACAATTTCAATTGTTACTGACATAGGTCCGATCTTTCCAGTACACAGTTTCTCTCCTCATAATTACAAATGTCTATTGTGCTTAGCCACTACCCCCAGCTACTTACAGGGTAAGTCACTCATCAAGCTTTCAATAAAAAGACATAAATTTTTTATTAACAACACAACCAATATTGTTCAGATGTCGTCGGGAAAATACGATTGATGCAAGATACAAAACAACACAACCCAAAATCGAATAAAAAAGTCACAATTGGTCTAATGCTGAACAAGTCAAAAATGGTTAGGCTCATACTATGGGACAAACCAGCAGCAGAGTTAGCACCCTATAAAGCAAGAAAGATAGCAAATGTAAAGTTGTAATCATCACAAGCATAATACCTAAACTTTTTCAAGGTAAATAAGTTTTTTTATAAAACATATAAAGTAAATAAATATTTATTTGTTTTAACCATGCACCAAAAAAAAAACAAAAATCTTGCAGGAAAACTAGAGCTCACGTCATCACCAGCAACAAAATTCTACTTTGACAAATCAATCGGACTCATCAAGAATTACATAGGACGGATCAGAAGTCATCGACATACATAGAAAAAAACCTCCAGCCATCATTCGGTTTTCTATTCTCATCCCACCCAACTAGATACTTGAATTAATTTTACTTTACAAACACTCATTGGATTGTATTTTAAAAAGAACTCGATCCTTAATTCATAAAAAATAGTTTTATTATCATGGCTGGAAAATTTAGAATTGAGTAATTGGACTATCTTATTTAAATATGAAATCATATGCATCTAAGGTATTCTACAATGTATTTTTTTTTTTTAAAGTAAAAATTGCATGTCCCCTCAAAATACGATCACCAAATCACAAAATTAAAAAGTGAGAATAAGTTTATTGGATCAACAGAACTTTGAACATAATTACCTGAACGATATATTTTAATACAAACAATTTGAAATGCTATATTCGTGTTGGATCCTACTGATACGGGACTAAGCATTAAATTAATTGGCTAACCACCATCACCATCCCTATTCCCAACAATAAGAAAATGATTCAAACCCCTAAATAGAAAATATATAGATTTGTCACATAATATGACTCTCTAATACTCTTACTATCTAAGGAGTTTCGTTATAAGTTGTCAGTTTGTGTAGATAATTAGGTTTCAATAAAACTTTTCCACAAAAAACAAACCATTAAAAATTCAGTAAATTATGCAATATAAAATACATTAAATATTATCCCACTGCCACTTCTTATTCTTGGCTATCAATAATACAACCATTGAAACAATTAAATTAAGATAACAAAACTAAATTTGAAAGTATGATTATTTTCAAACATTTTTGGATCATAATTATTTTTGTTTTGCAAATATTTTAATACGTCCAACAATTTTTATGTTGGAAAAGATTGTGAAAATGCAACTAAAATATCAAAATTTCATTTTCTTATTTCATTTTTTTCCTTAAATTATTAAGACAAAGATTTGATAACAAAATCTGAGACAACGTATTTCAAAAAGGTAAATAAAGCAAACAACTTTGTAGATGAGATAATGGATCTCATGTACATGAAGCAAGTTTTGCCCTAGATATGGGCATGTTAAGGTTTTTTTGATCCAGTCCAAGATGCAGTGATGATGATAGGAATGTTTATACTTTAAAGAGTTGATCTCTCCTTCTGTGCCAAACTCTTCGCAGCAAATTGGGCATATATCATCTTTTTCGCTAGGGATGGGTTCTCTTTGGTTTTCACGAAGCTCGATAGTATAGACGTCTAGGGCAATTCTGCGGAAAGCGTCTACGTTGTGATCAGATATCTTAACAATTATATCAATATCTGTACTTGTGGGATCATCGAGCGTCAGAATATTGCGTGCAAAAAATTCAGAAGACTGCTCGATAATCTCCATCACTGAATCAAAATAAATTTCATGGTATTCAAGCATGTATTCCATATCACTTACCGTATCATGGATTAGGTGGCCATTGCTTGATGTCCTCAGGGCGACGAATATCAAAAATTTTGTTTGATGTGTCCTTGGCCTCTTTATCTTCATGGCAATGGTTCTTTTTGGAGATGATAAAGATGGTTCCGTTTTATGGCGTAGAACCCAAAATACCTGACTCATGTTTAGAATTTGGAGGAGTTGTTTAGAGGTATGGAGGAGTTGTATAATGGAATCAGAATGTAGGAGTTTATATAGGTGGCAAATTCTAAAAATTTTTTTAATACACCATAAGTTACAACATTAATATATGTTGAATAGTAAAGAAGTTACGAATTAAAAACATAACTTTGTCTTAACTTTAATAAATTGATCATATTTATAAAATATGTTTCAGTTTCAATATTTGTATCAAAATTAATTTAAAAATACTAACGTAATTTTAAACTATAATAACATAAACTATGTGCTATAAAAGACAAAAAAAATCTACATATATACCAATAAGAAAGAATATTTAAGCGAGAATGGAATGTGAGCTTATACACAATATCTAATTTATTTGGCTAAACCAATAGTTTATTCATAAATATGACAACAAAACATAAAAATTACATTTTTAATTAAAACAAAAATATTAAAAAATAAAATAATAAAAGATGTCTGTATTTATAAAAATATTTAGTAAAAATATAAACATGATCAACAAGCAAAACTAAGAGAATTAAAAAACAGTCAAACACTATATACTCATTCAAAAAGTAAGCTCTCTCACTTATGGCCGTACTTTCCATTTTGGATACATTGACAAATGGATATGCAGGAAGGTAAGAGCCGGAGTTGTCGGGAGGCTGGTTTGTGATTTATGAGAAAAATCACAATCATAAAATTTATTTACATCCTTTAAAATAAACTAGATCTTGACCCGCACAACCGTGCGGGTTTTCTTTTTATTTATAATTTATAAAAAAATTTATCAATAAATAATAGTATATTTATTTATAAAATTTCGTAAAATACTAAAATAATAGATGTTAAAGTATAATTTTTAAACATAACATGAAAATATAAATTATCATTGACAAATATTTATTTATAGTATATCTAAATAAATGTTAAAATATATTGTACGCAAATTGCAGAAACTAAAACTTTATATTGAAGAAAATTATATATTTGATTATTTCAGATTATAATTTATGTACCAAACTCAAAAATATATTAGTAAGTAATAACAATCAAAAAATTATAGTTATATAACATAGAACATTAAATGTAAATCATATATTTACATTTTTATAATACTATCAAAGTGTTCTATTTATAAATAAAAAATCAGTGTGGGTCAAACTCTAGTATATAATTTTTTATTTAGAATTTAGGAATGTATAATGTTATCTAAATAAATTTTAATATCTTAAACAGAAATGTTTGTATTTCAAATAAAAGATAAAGATATAGGGTAATATTATGGAAATACAATTTAAAAAGATGCCAAAAAGATTTTTTTGGAGTTATTTCATTTGTATTACAAATAGAAAGACAAAGATATTTAAAGATACTATTATTAAATTATGTAACATTTGATAATCTTCATAATCTTTCTAAGGAATGGTTCATTTTTTTAAAAATCACACATGAATCAAGGTTATGACTTCTGTTTTAATATATAAGATGAGTAGAAAGTATTATTTTTTCCGGGATAAGCTCGTGCACTTGGGATGAATAAAAATATCCTTTCACAACTTTTAAAACAAAACCCAAAAGTCAACCTTTGCGGTTCTCAAGTATTAGAAATTTTCTTTAAATTACATTTAGTGATAATATATTATAGTACACACATGTCTAGTTATCATATTCGCACACAAAAAATATTCAGTGGAAAGTTAGTTAAACATCAGATATCTAAACAAAACAAATAAATTATATTTTACAACGATTTTAAATTTAAAAACTATTAAAAATCTCTCTTCTAAAAAACTATTCCATGGAAAATTAGCAAAACTGAACAAAAAAAATTATTTTCCAACAAATTTTCATTTCAAAAATAATAAAATCCAAAATTTCCGCGCGTAGCGCGGACAACAGATCTAGTTATTATAATATTCCACATGATAGTAGAGTTAAATTTAAAGCGTACTTCTATTTTAATAGAACTAGATTAGGTTTTGACCCGCACTTAGAAAGCGCATGATAATTTTTCAGTGAAATATAATCTTATTTTCTCTTTATTTAAATCGATCAGACCATGAAACCCGTAAACAAAAGTGTTATTAGCCGGATCAAAACAGATAATCTGAAAATTTGAAAAATTGAAAAATTGAAAAATTAAAAAACTGATAGAAATTTCCAAACTAATCATATATATAAAAATTTGAAACATAAATATTTACTTCAGACATTCAGTTTTATATTCATTTTTAATAATATATAATCATAAGTATTAAATTTTAAATAAGTACCTTAAATATCTGAACTGAGCCGAACCAATATAACCTGTATCCGAATGATATATGATTGTTTTATAGGTTTTCGGACGTGATACAAAGAACCAAAATTGATGTGTTATATCTGAACCCAATCCATATTTACAAATTTATCCGAAAGAGACCTATTTTGATTTTCAGCTTTTGGTTATAGTTTTTAGATCTGCTGAGTTAGTTTGAAATGATATTACCAACAAACAAATCTCAAATAATGAAACATCTAATTTAAAATTGAAAATATGTCAATTTTTTTTTAAAAAAATTGCAATAGTTTATTTTGTAAATAAACAAAAGTAAAAATATAACATGCGCTTTCAGCTATTGGTTTTAATTTTTTGTTTTTTTATTTACATTTAATTTTTTAAGATAATCAGTAAATTATTTAAGCAAAATTATTTAAAATTTACCACTGAAATTTATTAAAGCAAACTGATTTTTATTTAAAATAATAATATAATAACAGTTTTAAAGTACATGATTTAAATAAGTGCTTAATAATAGACAGCTTGTTTTGTTAAAAATATTTAACATCTTTGGGCCTGAAAATAGTAATTGATTTTTTGATCTATTAAGGTGGAAAGTTTATTTAATATTTTTGGAGTTTTTCTTTAATAATAAGCCCAAAACCTAAACCATATAATTTTTCCTGAAAACAAAAATAAACCCAAGACTCTATCTCATAGATAAACACTGGTATTTTTTAATTTTATTAAAATTAGCAAATATATTTTATGAATATATGATACCGTTTAATACTTTTTTTTTGGGGGGGGGGGAGGGGGTTTGTTATTTCACATATATGATACCATTTATATTTTCTTAAGGAACTGTTAAAATATTAAACGGTATATTACGATTTCCAAAATCTATTGGTTTCATATAATTGGTAAATTTCCATATTTGTTAAGGAACTGTTAAGATATGAAATCTATTGGTTAAATAAAATTAGTAGATTTCCATATTTCATATTTTGATGATATATATTCTTAGAATATTCCATATTTGTACGACAAAATATTTGTTTTTGGTAATGCGGTTTGATTTATCAGCATCAAGTTCGATTTGATTTAAGTAACACGGTTCAATCAACTACAATATAAGCTCTTTAAATTAATACTTTATAAATTAATATACACTAAAAATCTCTATAAAATAATATAATTTTATAGTACCAAATTGAACTTTTGGTTCAATTAGTATATCTATTAATTAATAATCTCTATAAATTAATAAAAAAACTATATTTTTGGTATAGTCCTAATATTATTAATTTATAAAGGTTTCACTTTATATAGCGTGTATTATTTGTAACACTATAGAAAAAGTCCAAATTTAAATGACAATTTGTTCAATAGATAAAAAGACTATATTTTAATAGAATAGATTTTTACCATAGATAAAATTAATTGATTGTATTTTTAAGAAAGATTTTGGTAAATATAATTAATGCAGAAAATTAGGATTAGTTAATGGGTAATTCTTTCAAATAGCCCTCTTTTAAGTTTTTATCACAAAATAGACCTCAAAAATTAAAATGACCAAAATAACATTTTTTATTTTGAAAATTTTAAGTTTTTAATTTTTTTAAGTTCGAAACTCTATCCCCAAAACCCTACTCCTTAAGTATAAACAAAAAAATCTAGGATTAGTTAACCCAAGGGTATAAATGTATATTTAATAAAACATTTAAGTGATATTTTGGTCATTTTAATTGTTAAGATATATATTTGTGATAAAAACATTTTAGGTCTATTCTATTCATTTTCTTTTATAGCCCTCTTTCTTTTTTATAAATACTCTTTTCTTAACGGAATGGTTTAATAAAGCTTGACTATTGATTTTTCCTGCAAATGATTTCGGACCCTTTCATATGAGTTTATCAACTCTTATGATAAAAACAAGAGAACAAACATTATTTGATATTATCTGAGGTTTCTTAGTTGTAACATATTTGGAGTATTGTAATATTTTAAGTTGTAATATATTAAATTAGCTAAGGAGCGGTTTAGTGGTTCCCACTTGAAAGAATTGTCCTAAGTATATCCGGGGAATCGATTCTCCTTGCATGTGGAATTATCTAGGAGCATTATCCATGTGATTATTAATATCTATTACTGTAAGATATCCGTATTTTATTAAAATTAATTAATAACAGGTTTTTCTTCAAAATTGACCATTCATAAAAGACAAATATTTTACAGATATATCAACTTCTTAAGTTTATAAATGAAACTTTTTTTCATTTCTCCATATTACTATTATTGGAAATATTCAGTGAGATATCTTCAACTGAAATGCTCTAACCATTTTTAAAAATCAAAACGTCACACTATTAGAAAACTTAGTGAATAGGCCTTAACAATTACACTCACCTAAAGAGATTAGTCTAGTGTTAAGAAGTTATCAGAAAAGTAAGAAAAAAAAATATATCTGCAAAACAAACCTATCAGAATTGAATTGTTGGAAAATATCTTACTCACCCATTTTTTATATGTGTAATTAGGTAACTGAGAAAATAAATATTAAAGCTGAGGGCATAAGAAGACTGAAAGAAGCTGCATTAAAAGAGTGCGACTTCGCTAATGAGGCAATCACTACTTTCGAAGTCATAGGAGCTTATTTGTGGAAGTCAAGAGTTAAAGCTCTGAGTTTGGATCGAGATGGAATCACATCTTTGGGTTTAGCTGTAGGAATCCGAAACGTAGTGAATCCTCCTTTGCCCGACGGATATTACGGTAATGCATACATAGATATATATGTGTCGTTAACCGTTAAAGAAGTAGAAGAATTTACCATCTCCGACATTGTGAAGCTCTTAAAACAAGCAAAGAAAAAAGCTCAAGATAAAGATTATCTCCAGGAAGAGCTTGCAAACACAGAAAGTATCATCAGTATGAATTTAACGGTCAAAGGTAGATTTTGTTTGACGGATTGGAGGAACATTGGTATTTTTGGATCCATGGATTTCGGGTGGGGTGAGCCGGTGAATATTGTCCCGGTGGTCCCACCAGAGATAGCTAAAATTGTTAGTATGTTCATGCCAGCGTCGAGGTTAGAACCTCCAATGGTCGGAGGGGTTCAAGTCATGATTACGCTGCCAAGAGCTGCAATGGTTAAGTTTAAAGAAGAGATGAATGCTCTAAACTAAAATTTCTTTCTTTCATATTTCTGTGTGTGAATCTTAATAAATTAACATCAATAAGTGTAATACTTTATACACAAATGTGATTACCATTATATGTTTATTAGACTGTTTTTAGTAATGTGAAAACACTAATTTGAGAAGGGACGTGGCTCAGTGTTGTACATTGCTCACTCCTGCAAGTGTTTGTTTTCTTCTCACTACTTTTCAGAATCTCCATAGCTTACTTGAGTGATGAATCGACTCTATTCGGCCCCAAACTCTTGCTCGGAGAAACAAGCAGTTTTTCCTTGTTAAGGAATAGTTAAACTGTTTGAACTTAACCGATATGTGATGGGAAGCGATCTGACACAAAGTGGGGTTACAGTTGCTGGAACAGTGACGGCTGACCATGGGGTTGATGTCTTGGAACTACTCGCGGTGTGTCAAAGGAAGTCCAATATGTGGTCAAAGATAGAGCGAGTGATACTAGAAATACGTGGTTCAGTTATTCGGTTTACTTTTGGTATTTAGATCTGTTCAGGTTATATTAAATAGAAGGTCCTACATATAAAATGATGTAACCGAATTCTACATTGTTTGAATCTAACAAACTTTTCTTTACCGTGTTATCGTTGAGCTATAAATCTCTCTAGAACTTTGTTCATCTATGAACCTAGAGTTTTAATATGATATAGAACATTAAAGGTTGGTCGTCTCCATACAATGCACGTCTCAACTGCTAATCAGCTTGATGATGTTCTTACGGAAGCTCTTCATCCCGATTCCTGAACAATTTTTTTCATGATTCGATGTATGTTAAGGGATGTATTATAATATATGGTTCACTTATCTGGTTTACGTTTGGTATTTAGACTGGGTTCAGTTATCTGGTTTATTCCGTTGGAACAGAATTGTGAGATTATGTTGATTGAATCCAACAAGCTTTTTTCCTCTTCATAGTCGAGCTCTGCGTCTTCACTCTCTCGTTCTTTGTTCATCTATGAATCTACAATACCCCTGTTCTTTTGTTTGACGCTGCTATCAGCGTCAGTGTCCGGAAACTACATCTATTCTCATGGCAAATTCACGACTGACGGGACAAAAACAACATTTTTTCCAGCCGCTGCGGCCAAAAATAATGAATAAATCAGACGCGGAAAACAACAACGTTAATGGTCTTGAGATTATAGGCAAAAAGTTACCGCTGCGTCTTACATATGCAGCCATGGCGTCGAAAGCACTGAACATCATAGTGCATTTTTTTTATGCCGCCGCTGATCGCAGTGTCGGAGAAAAGAACAGGGCTAATGTTGATTAGTGATAATGCATTCAAATAGTTTCTTGGTGAGTAACATCTTGTTTGTTCGTCTTCAGAAACCTGGTCATGATCGCTAATTCGCTCATCAAAACAACAAATACAACCATGGAAACGTCTTCAAAAATAGATCTATATTTGAAGTTTTACATTGAGGGTCGTCTTATCAACCTGAGAGACACACAAGACAGTGTTTTGGTCAACCATTGTTCTGTGTTTTAAGAAATTTTTGTTGAAGCTCATAATGGATGTACAATATTTCGTATTTTTGGATTTGAAAGATTAATTAAAAACAATAGAAGGAAAACCTACGAAAATAAACAAAACTAACAAATTAGAAAACAAATTAAGTTTACAAAAAAAAAAAAAACAAATTAAGGAAAAGGAAATTGTAATAGTTTAAAATTAACTATTGTTTATAATCATAATTCTACATTACGGATAGTTAGGGTTTTTATTTGTAATCAACCTCTCCGCCGTAATCAAATTCAGCAACGCACGTAATTCTTCGTTGCAAGAGCTATGCTTCAGCTCATGAGTATTAAGGCGGCCGAGAAGAAACGATGGTATGTTTAAAAAAAATTGTACATTAAGCTTAAAAACAAGGGAAGAAAATTAGAATGACTCAAATTTATGGTGATGTTACTAGAATGACTCATATTTTTTTTTCAAATTATTAGAATGTTTTCGTGGTCAGAAGTACCCCTGGCTATAGTTATACCAAAAAAAAGGTCCCTCAAATTAGGTCGTTGGCAGATTTAATTTGGGGAAAACAAATCTGCCGTACAACAGAGTTGTTAAAAATGTCTATCGTATGACACAACAGATTTGTCTATACTTTGTCTGATTTGTATTAAAAAAACGATTTCTTAAAATATGTCTGTCGGATGACACAACATATTTGTATCAAACCACAGATTTGTGCGATCGACTTATTTTCGAAAGGCAGACTTGTTGAGTTATGACCGATTTGTATAGAAAATCTATTCTTCCTACGGTAGACTTAAGGCAAATCTATCACAGATTTACAAATGCTGTAGACTTGTTGCATTACGACGTGGCCGACTTGTTATTTTACGTAGTGACAGATTTGTTTAANAAACCACAGATTTGTGCGATCGACTTATTTTCGAAAGGCAGACTTGTTGAGTTATGACCGATTTGTATAGAAAATCTATTCTTCCTACGGTAGACTTAAGGCAAATCTATCACAGATTTACAAATGCTGTAGACTTGTTGCATTACGACGTGGCCGACTTGTTATTTTACGTAGTGACAGATTTGTTTAATTATTTTGGGTTTTAGTAAACCAGTAAAAATTAAATTCGGATTTAATCTCGGTTTACTCCAATTAATCCGATTTTGGTTTATTTCTAGTGGTTTAAGACCACAATTAGGGCTAATTATTTTTTTAGTAACTGTCGTCATCTCTTTCACCCCTCTTTTCTTCTTTCTCAAGTTGTTCCTTTCATGGTGGTTTGAACACTTTCTTCCATTCTTTCTGCTTGCAGAACAATGGATCACATCATTCTGGTCTGTGGAAAGATGCGACGTAAGAGACAAAGACGACGAGATGGACTTCTGACAGAGGCGATGGTGTCGGAGTGAGAGAGGAACGACGACGAGACTCGATCCGAGAATCCCCCCTTCGAAATCGTCGTTGTCGTGCGAGAAAGAGAGAGAGACCCGAGAAACAATTTTATTTTTCTCTTTTATGTTGAATCTAATTTATTTTCTCTTTTATGTTTAATGTTTTTTTCCTCGTAAACTTTTTTTTTTGGATTGCGCACATTAAAAGGATATTTTAGTCCATTTACTTGTTACAAAATGGGGTCTAGTATTTAAAATTTTATATGAGTCATTATAGTCATTTTAAGATCAATTTGGGTCATTCCAAGTAATTCCTCTAAAAACAATTAACGTTCTTTTGTTCGAATTTGTTTTTTTTTTCTTTACAGCAAAATAGGCGGTGAGAGAATGAAAAATCAAGTTCTTGTGAATGAAGAAGATAGGATCAGTGAGTTGCCTGAGGCTTTGATTCTGCAGATACTATCGTTCCTTCCTACAAAATCTGCAGTAGCTACTAGTGTTTTGTCTAAACAATGGCAGTTTCTATGGAAGATGATGCATGAACTCAAGTTTGATTATTCTGATCACAAAGATGAAGTTGGGATATTTTCGGAGAATGTTAGCAGCTCTTTGCTTTTGAATACGGCTCCTGTTATAGAGAGTGTGCATCTCAAATTTCATTCGGACAAGTGTAGCGATGTGGATTTTGAAAGATTGATTAAAACTGCAAAGGCACGACATGTGCGTAAGTTGGTGCTTGATGCTGGATATTCAAAGTGTTACACGATTTCTCAAAGCTTGTATGACAATGAAACACTAGAGACCTTGATACTCAAGGCATGTGTTATTCTAAAGGGACCTTATAAAGTTTGTCTGAAGTCCCTTAAAACTCTGCATCTTCACGCTGTGAACATCACAGACAGAGCATGGGTTCTTAAATTTTTATCTGGTTCCCCTAATCTTGAAGATTTGTTGGTGCGTCTATATCCGGACTCGAGAGTGACGGCTTTAACTATTGCCCACCCAACCTTACAAAGACTATCAGTTTATAACAAGCGTGGTCCACAACATAAATGGCGCTGTTACATAAATTCTCCTAATTTGAGATACTTTTGCATTGAAATCATGGTCTCAGGTTTCGTATGTATGACAATGTGACGAAGCTGGTGGAACCCAATATATCTAACGTTAACATCCATCATATAATCAATGAGAATGGTCTGCGATCTTTAACTTCAGTGGAACACCTTTCCTTGAAATTTTTACCCTATAAGGTAGATTTTAAGGTTTTCTTGAAGTTATTTCACTGTTTCGGTACTAATATTTCTCTCATCCATTTTAAGATTCTTACCGCTAGCAACTTCCACCAGCTGGTCCATTTGGATCTATTTACACGTAGAGGATTAAGGTGGGTTCTACTTACTTTCATGATTGATAGTTCTCCTAAATTACAAGTCCTCAAGCTAATTTATGTAAGTAGAGTTCTTCTCAGAAACCTTTACAGCTCGGTATTAGGTTTTATGCAAGTTTAGATCGTTTGCATACTGNTACCGCTAGCAACTTCCACCAGCTGGTCCATTTGGATCTATTTACACGTAGAGGATTAAGGTGGGTTCTACTTACTTTCATGATTGATAGTTCTCCTAAATTACAAGTCCTCAAGCTAATTTATGTAAGTAGAGTTCTTCTCAGAAACCTTTACAGCTCGGTATTAGGTTTTATGCAAGTTTAGATCGTTTGCATACTGTAGCGACCTATAACCTGTGACCAAATGTTGTTCGTTTTGTTATCGAAGACTGCTGCGACTTGAGATCTGCGACTATGACCAGCGATCTGTGACCAAATTGTTGTTGTTTCATTGTCGAAGGTCGCAGAAAATTTAAATTTTAGTCGCTATCTTTTTCAGCGACTTGAAATCGCGACCTGCGACTGGTCGCACAATCAGTCACATGGCAGCAAAACAAACAACCTGCAACTTGCAATCTGTGATCTTATCGGCCGCTCAGTCGCACGAAAACAAAACGAACAACAACTTGGGACACGTAACGTACAAGACCAGTGGCGGAGCCAAGAATTATTTCTACTGTGGTCAGAAAAAAAATTAAAAATGTATAAATAGCCAAAAAACTACAAATGTATCATAATAAAATTACAAATGTACTCTACGATCACTCATAGCTTGAAATCGTCTTATAACGGTTGCATTAGCTACATCTTCAAATATTTTTTTCTCAATAAAACAAATAAGACAATCACTTAGACATTCATCACCGATGCGATTTCGTAATACTGTCTTGACGATCTTCATTCCTGAAAAACATCTCTCAACGGTTGCAGTAGCAACAGTCAAAGTCAAAGATAACTTCAAAAGCCTATACACCAAAGGTTGAGAAAGATGTTTCTTGGTTTCTACCATTACCCGCGATAAATCTCCAAGATGTTTCAGATCAGCAAACCTTTCATCTTCTAGTACATTATCAATATAAATGTCAAGTTGCTGTTTAAGTGATGTGCACTCCACAGCCCTAAAATTTTCAGGATAGAATTTAGCCAGTCTCAATAACTTTTCTTTATCAAACTCACGGAATGAATCAATAGGACTTAAAGCTGATGTGCAAACGAGTAACTCAGAGTTTACCTCGTTAAAGTGACCATTAAACTCTTGAAGTTCCATATCCAATACTGTATAAAAACAAATAACTTGATAATTATGCAAGTTGGTAATGCATGTTGGTCTTTTTGCGTGGCCTCCTTGGATCGATGAAATCGTCCTCCATGTTGAGAAGATCAGAGTCATGTTTCTCACAAAAAGATGAAACATCATTCACAAAAGAATTCCAGCCATCATCTCTAAACTTTTGTAGCTGTCGCTTAGTAGATTCTATTAATGAAACAGCATTTACGATGTCTTGGTTTTTTAGTTGCAAGGCCAGTGACAAATTTTCTGTAAGTCCCAAAATGTGTACCATCAAGTGTGGATAGAATACACAATCAAAAGTATGGATATATTTGAGAATACCATTTGCTTGACTTCGCTGGTTAGGATCAGCACCTTCATTCTCGATGTACACAAGTATCTCATCCACAGAAGAAAACATCCCAACTAACCGCAACAATGTTTTATAATGAGAACCCCAACGTGTAGTTCCTGGTCTTGGAAGTGTAGACTCCCGATTCAGTCCTTTTCCAGTCTTGATTTCACCACTACTTATTCCCTTTTCAATAATATCTCTCTGAATTTCTCGCATCTTATCTTTCCTTTTACAAGAAGCTGCAACCACATTCACTAACAAAGAAATCTTATCAAAGAAATCTCTAACTTCAAAATGTTTCTTTGCGACTGCAACAACTACCAATTGTAGTTGGTGAGCAAAAAAGTGTACATAGTATGCCGAACTATTTTCTTTTGAAATCAGTGCTCTAAGACGATTAAATTCACCTCTCATATTTCATGCTCCATCATAACCTTGTCCTCTCACTTTTTTCAGACTCAGACTATATCTAGCAAGAAATGAATCGATTCCAGATTTCAAAGATAAAGAACATGTATCCTTCACATGGATAAGACCAACAAATCTCTCCTTTACCATACCATGTTTATCGACAAAACGAAAAAACTATAGCCATTTGCTCTTTCATAGAACAATCAGCTGATTCATCCACCAATAAAGCAAACACATCTGATATTAGGAGTTTTTGAGGCTCCTAAAGCAAATGTTGTAGTATAGATGATTGTCGAACCAGTTATGAGGGATTTAAAAGCACCGAGAATACAAGTACTAGCTTAATCTAAGTGCGATCATGTGATTGATTGGTTTTTAAAGTTAACTAAAACTAGAATGCAATAAAAGATATAACTTTGACAAAGAAGGTAAAGGAGAACTCATGAGTATAGGGAATTTGACTTTGGGTGATCAAGTTTCGATCTAAGGATGGCAAGCGATCAATTAAACTGTCTACCTTAGGCCTAGATACGATTCTAAACAAGCTCTATGTCTAGATGAATGTTCATTTACTACCATAACTCAAGCATCAAATGTCTTTGGTTGAATATTATGAAAGTAATCATTAAGAATAGATCTATAAGC